AAAAAAAAAAAAAAGGCCATATTGCAGGAAGAAGCAGCTGGCCTTAACACTTCTGTGTTTGATGAATACATGGCTTGAACAGCTTTCAGTGAAGCATTGCAGAGGTGGGACCTCTACAATAGAAATGTGGCCCCTTTCAAACGTGGAACAGCTATTTGTGTCTTATTGCATGTCCTCTATGGTCCTGTCCTTAGCTGGAGGGGATACATGATCAGGTTTCCCTTCTTTGTGTAGGAGTGACTGGTGAGTTGCAGTCAGGAATATTATGCCTTCAGCTTTGAAAGAACCACTGGACACTAAATGTATCCTTTGGCACCTTTTAGAGTTCTAAAGTTCTAAAAAGTTGATATTTTTCACAGTTTAATAGATGCATTACCAGCTTCTAAGTGGTTTTTTTTTTTGACAGCACTGTGTCATACCTTAATCAATATTCACTTTGATAGCTCACCAAGGTTTCTTAGCACTCTTAATGGTGTTGGGTAGAAAGAAAAGCAAAACTATTGGTCTGAGTCATGTGGAGATTTAATCTGCAAGGAGTCTGAGCTGCCTCTCTTGCTTGGAGATGCTACTTATTTGACTCCTGAAACCTGACAGCCCTTTGCTTTCTGACCCAGAATTTCACTGGAAGACCTTTGCTGAAGGAAGGATTTTTATTCCTGCCAAATCTTTCATTCAGAAAGCACATTCAGAATGAATGTGCTGTCTGGCTGTTGCTCTGTCCTTAAATTTGCCTAAAGGAATGTGTCAGAGTTTAGAGAATGGCCTTTCGCAAAGCTTTCTGAAGGAAGTGGATTTTTTTTCCCCAAGAAGTAGAAGCCTGCAGAAATAGAATTGTCAGCCTGGGGCAGAAGTCCCCATAACCTTTCATGGCCTTTGTAAGCCTATGTGCAAATTCTATGTGTTTTTCCTTGCACTGAGGGATTTCCTTGCCTATGTGCAAATTCTATGTGCATTTGTAAGCCTATGTGCAAATTCTATGTGTTTTTCCTTGCACTGAGGGATTTTGCAAACTTATGTGAAGATGAGCAGGTATGCTCTGTACCTATTCAAGATATTCATTATGTATTCAAGTATATTCAAGATAGATGTTAAAAGCTTTCTCAAGAAGAATTAGAACTTGATAAAACAGCAAGAAACCTTGCAGTGTCTTGGTGTAAGTTTCTTAAAGCTCTGCCTTGGGGTGACAAAGCATCAGGATGATGAAGAGTATAACACTGTGCAGTACAAATGAACTGTGAATTAAGGTCTGTTTTTGACATAGAAAATGGAAGGGGAAAAACTTGGGTTACCATAGTACAGGTCATGAATTAAATAACCTACTTACTGGTCAGGATGATGAGGCTCCACGTACAGTCAGTCTTTCCTGCATGGAGATTCTTGGAATTTTATGCAGTGGCATGATCCCTGGGAGTACTGTAGACTAAAAAGCTAATGAATCAAAAGGAAAAATATGTATTTTAGTAAACATAATCAGTGATCTGGTTTTGATTGCTGGTTTAATAAGGCCTCTTGGTGGAAACAGTGCTTTCACCAAAAAAAGCAAATTGAAACTGCAGGACATAAGCTGTTCACATTTTTAAGACGAGGCCCAGCCTTTTGCTGTGGGTGTAGCAGTCAAACTTGAAGATTCAGAAAGTTTTGAAAAACTGTAAGTTAATTTTGGAAGTGTTCTCCTTTTGTTCCTATAGGTGTGACTGTACTTGAAGGTAGGAATGTTTTCGATTCTCCCTCTTTTTACTCCTTTTCTTCCCTGTCCACATGCATGAGTTGAACAAACTGTTGTCCATTACAGTTGAACCAGGTTAATGTTGTATGTGAATTCAGGTATCATGCCTCATATTCCATGTGGTGGGGTGGGGCCTGTGACCACCATTATTCTGACTTCGAGAAGCTGCTGCTTGGGCCTCAGTAACAGCTTGAGGTGTGTCAGAAAAAAAGCTGACACTTTTTTTCTGCTAGTCTGCTGTAGCTGTCAAGTAAAAAGTGTTGGTTGGTTCATTCACTCTTTATGGGTATAAGAAATGAAATTAAATTAAAGTATATGAAAGGTTAGAGACGTAGAGACTTCATATTAAATGTGAAGGGACGAGATATGTAATCTTGGTTGCTGAGTAATCATTCTCCTAGTAGCAAGTTCGAAATTGTTCTAGAAGAAATTTATTCCTACTGTTATTTTACAATTTGAGCCTCAAAATGATTGCTAGTTATGTTATTCTAGAAGGGGAAAGGAAAAATCTCCCTGACGTTACTAATTCATCACGCCATATTCCTACAAGGCAGTGCCTCATGCAGGAACTGTCTCTGGACACACTGTCCTGTGACCATCTAAGCTTTTTTGGGGGAGGCCTCTGAGCACTTTGTCACAGCAGAGACCTGTATCTTTTTGTAGTGCATTTTGGTTCTGTGTAGAGATAATTTCCTCACTTTGGGAAATGCTTCATTTATTTTCAGGATTATCTTGCTCAATGCATTAACTTTTCCACAAATGGCAAAGCTCCAAGTGGCATAAGAATGAAATTTTCTTTAGAAGCTGAAGCTTCTGATTTGAAATCTTCTGGTGTTCATTTAGAACAGTAGGTCACCTTTCCTTTTGAGCCCCCCTATTTTCACATATTTGAGCCCCCTACCACATATTTGTTGGTTTGAATCTCATTTTTATTCATCTTCACGTCTGTAAAAGAAAATCTTTGGGAGCAGTTATTGGGATTTTCTGGTGGAGCTGCTAAGAGAGTTCATTTATTAGAAAACAAACAGAATGATTCCCATATGCTGTAGTATCTCACAACAAGGCATCTTCTTGACATATGTGTATTAGGTTGGCTCCCTGTTGGTATGAAAATACTTGTCCAAAATGTATTCTCTGGTTCCTGAGATTAATCTCAAGAACTAGGAAGTTACTGGAAATTGTGTTCTCATGTACCTTATGAGGAAACTGGTAATGAAAGAAGTAAAAGTTATCTGTTGTAGAACTGTATTTAATGACAGTATGGACTTATTAGTTAAAACTTGACAAGTACTTGTTAATTGTCATTTGATTTATTTCCCTGTAACTGTCTACAGGTGCAGAGATACAATTGCTTGGACTATTCCTCTGAGGTTTTTTGTTTTCTCATCACTTTCTAAGTGTATGTTGCTTCTCTAGCAGTTTCAAAAATCCCAAACTGAATAGTCTACAATTTGAATGTCTCTTAAAATTTATTAGTGTTGGTACCTAGTATCAACAGATATTAGCTATTGGCAGACTGCAATCACCCTTATGTAGATCTTTCTCATTTACAGCTACATGTGAGAAGAATGCATGAGAGGGTTTCTGTATCACCTGTTGTAGGTCGTTTTGATTGTTGAGAAGTCATTATTCTCAAGCATGTGTAAGTAATAGTACCATATAGGACACAAAATTATTGTAACATGATAAAGAATATGCAAATGTCTTTACACAAATAAATTCATTTGTGTTGATGACTTCTTTGTACTCTCATAGCAAAAGTTTATTGTGTTCTATCTTCTTTTCTTCTTTTCTGGAAGCACCAGACTGCCTGTAACCATTTCTGTAGCATTTGCATTAATTCTGCAACTCTATAACAGTAGAGCAGCTGTAGTAGTGCTCATACTCATAGAAGCTTGAAATCGCTGAGAATTAGTAGTGTAAGATAAGTACTTGAGAAGTCATGTCTTTCAAGTTTTAGCAAAGTCACAACAAGAGAAGTTTACACTTCATAGATAACATCTAACTCTGTCCTGCACTTAGGACAGACGTCCTGCAGCACCTGAATTACTGGGGTAGCAATAGTCCCTATGTATCATAAATATGCAATTAGACCAGGGTGTATCAGTGAGTTTCACCGTGGTATTCAGAAGTAACTTAGGCATGTGGTTTTTGTAACTTTTTATTTGTATTAAAAGGAAATGGTTTAGAAGCCTACTGTGTTAAAAGGCTGTGGTCTAACTGCCCTCAGCTAATCACCCATTCTCATCACAGCCCACCTCCTCTGAACCAGTTGTGACTGGTTCAGTTTATAGGGTTTTTCCACTACATAACCAAACCTTCCTGTAAACAAACACCCCAGCACCCAGAAGCCTTAAAAGTCTACTTTTCCTCTTATTTGTGCTAAATAAATAAGAATTAAAATCTTAGTAGGAGCTGTTTATGTTTGTATAAACAAACTTAAGGCATATGTGAACTGTTGGAAGGTGTAAAACCTGCAACCAAGTATTTGAAAAATACTTGAAACTGAGAGGTGATGGTTTAGGGTTGCATGTAGGCAAGGGGTTTCCTGTGTATTCTCTCTGTTTTTCTGAACTGCATGGACAATATTTTTCAGTTTTGTGTAGGAGACACAAAGAGTGGATTTGGGGATCATATAGTGAGAGAGCTTGGTTCCTTAATGCAGTCAAACATTTGTCTAGCAGAGACAGAGGAGATCCATGTAATACCCAGGTAAAATCCATGATGCTGCTGAAATCTACAGTTACTGCATTCCAAAAATACCTTTGTAGCTGGTTTTTTAAAATTTTGATTGGAACCAAACCTTAATAAACAATAGCATGGGATCCCAGGTATTTCTCAGAGTTTAACTGAAGACTACAAATCACAACTTTTTTCACATTGAAGAGCAACATGACATTGAGGGCAGTAATTAGTTGCTTTGCCATTAGTAAAATAGCTGTGGTTGTTAGAACTCAGCCTTGTATGTTTTCTTTCCCTTATGATGGCATGAGCCCTAGGAGGTAGTCCTGTTGTAACAACATTTTCTGTTGGCATGGCTTAGCTGTGTTACAAAGATTAGCTTTCTGTTTTATAACAGAAAAGATGTCACAAACTAGTATTTATTGTTCCATGCCAAAGTGTTCTTGTTAACATATTGAAATGCAGAAAAGTGATGTTTTAAGGACCTTTGATTTCCTGAGAAATTTATATGAACAGAGAAATTAATCAGGTTTTCTAGACATCTTTGTACAGGCTGTGGAAATGCTGGAGAACAAACACAGGCCTCATAAAGACAGCTGGAGGAAAGCTTTTATTGCCATCATCATTACAGACACAGTGAATGTAAATGCTGCAGAGGCATATTTCCAAAACCTAGGGCAGTGTTTTGCCCAAAACCAAGCAAGTGACTTATCCCAATATGTCTACTTCCTATTTTTCCACATAAATTTGAAAGGAATTGATGTGTGGAACTGGGAGATTAAGAGTTCAAAGTCTCTTAGAATTTTTCTTCCTTTGTGAAAGTTAGAGATTCGTATTTGTAGTTTTGTTTCAGTTTTAAAAGGTGTCTTTAAACAAGGTGATGCTCATGATCATTGTGATAATTTTCTTTTTTTTAAATTACAATGTGCAGATTTTCAGACCGTGTCGCTGGTGGATTTCTTCAATTTCTGCGCATGTGCACCTTAGAATTGCTTTTATTCTCATCTGACTTCTTCATTCAGAATTCTTTTGTTCACTTTTTAAAGTTTTGTTTAATTGTCTATTACAGCATACCACTTCAGAATAATTAATTCCTCATCTGTTGGATACATGAGAGTTGCAACAAGTCACTGAAAGTAAAAATTAACCAAACCTGTGAATTTACTGCACAGGAATGCTCCTAATTAAGCCTTAAATGCAGTGACAAAACACATCTGTGCTTTGTATGTCAAAAGCGCTGTTATATCCCCAAGCTTCTGGATGTGTAGCTACTTCTGACATGGCTATTGTCTTCATTTTGCAATATGGACTTGGATTAAAATGCATTATTCCTATTGCCTATCTTTATTCAATATTCAGAAAAAAATAAGAAAACAAGACTGATATAGAAACACTAGCAGTAAAGCAAAATGAGCCCTTATGCACTAATAACAGAAAATTATTTTGGAATATTTTTTTTGCCGTTACATCTAACACTGAGAGCAGGGGATTCTATATGGATAAACGTACTGCAAAGTAAGTTGAAGATCAGTTTGTAGCCTTTCTTAAAACAGCATTTATGCTTTCTTTCCTCGGTGCTTGGTTAAAGCCCACATTCTGTAGATGAAGAAGAGTATGATAATATTGTACATGGAGCTCTTCAGAAGAAGGATGACGTAGACTAAATATGCTGTCCTGTGCATTAACTGATCTGTAACAAATAGACAACAGAAAAGTCTTGTTTAATGTCAACACTGTATAGCATTCTAAAAATGGAAAAAAATGGAACAATGCAGTCAGTTTACTGCTGCAATTACATTGACACCAGTGCACAGTATAAACACATACAAAATCTGTTCTGTTCTTTAAATGGGTTTGCACTGCTAATGAGTTCTAGACCTAGTGGGTTTCTTAGCACTAAACTGACTCTCAGTATCACTGGGTTATACTTCCTTGTAAAGACAAGCTGTAAAAGCATAACTGTATGCTTTATGTAAAAGCATAACTGTAGTGCTTCCAGCAGTTAGTACATTTGTTTAAATCCTTTTGTGTTGTATTTATTGAAGATAACTGCTCATGATTCTTCCTAAATACCATTCAAGCAAAAAAAAAATGTTTGTCCAAAGTTCTGGGCAATTGCTAGGCTGATGTAGCATCAGCCAAAGTGTTTAACTTGTCCAAGTGTTTAAAAACTTGGCAGTGCTTAATGCAGGCTAATAATCTAGTAGCCCAAACAGCATCTGTAGCATCTTACTAAAGCTATCTTACTAAAGCTATAAAGGTAGGAGAACCCCTATTAAAAAGTTAGTTAAGAGTAGTGCTGAAAGTTTTTTGAGTTGCCAATTCCATATTTGAAAGATTTCCTGCATACTACTAAGAAATATAAATTTTGTGATGTTCAGAGCATATTTAGCAATATCTAACTCTTGCATGACATGAATCACTTTCCCACCTTTTAACACATTAAAGTACCTCTATTAAAAACTGTTCCACAGTCCTCTTCCTGAGAAGCAGTCTTCACAGAATCTGTTGGAAAGAGAGTTTAAATGCCTCAGTTAGGCTTTTCTTTAATTTTAACAAACATTTATTGAGAAATAGAGAAAAAAAGAGGCTGTACAGGAACAAGGCTGGGAAAATGGTTAGCTAGTATTAAATAAAAAACTGGAGCCTTAAAATGGGTCTGCAAAGCAGATATCCACAAGATATTCATTTGCAGAGAGAATTTGAAGAGGAGAAATGCTTGAAGAAGTGACTGGGTACTTGTTGCCATAAGTGGGAGAAGTGTCTTTGCTCTTTCAGGCATGTGCCCATTAGGCTGTTCCTTGGCAAAGTCTCTTTTATTTGGAACAGGAGGCAGTTTGACCACCTGACCTTGTCAGTGAAGAAGCTGAAGTCCATTTGCCTTCACAACCTAACTGTTCTCAGAAACGAAGAATCATTTACATTGGAAGAGACTTCAGTTAATATGTTAATATTTTAGTGGTTGTTCAACAGAAAAGAACTACTGGGAATTCCCCTACTGGGAATCTTGGTGCTGTTTTTTTTCTCTAAAATACATACTTTTTGTTCTTGAAGTAGCAAATTGGAGTTTGTTCTTGGTTATGTTGTTTGTATGCATTGATACAAACATTAAAGACATTTATATTGCATCTCTAAATACATCCTCCATCTAAATAAGCTTAAAATATATTTTTGTCAGAATATATTTTGAAGGTTGAAATGTAATTGTTGTTTATGGCCATGCTCTCACTCATTTGAGTTAGGTTAATTTTTAGCAAGTTAAGCAGAGATGGGTATGGAGAGAAGATTAATCTAAACCAATTTAGACCACTTTTCTTATAGATGATTTAAACAATTTTCATTGAGTAGAAGTTAATTTTTCTTTAAAGTTGCATTGTCTTTCAGATTTGGCTTTGCCTAATCAATCTTTCCACAAATAAAAAAAAATCTTATTTTTATATGTGGTTATTAACTTACTATTTCTGGATTGTGGGTAAGTAATATTTTTAAACTTGCTATCAGTAACCTCATTTTTAACTTCTTAGTTTTTTATAGCTGTGACTAATGTCAGGGGGTGTCAGAGGGACGTAGACCTGTAAGCTATGAGAGGTAATACTGTTTTCAGAAACTTCTGTAATGTGGAAAGTAACAGACATGTTTCAGTGCAGATCTGTTGGACCTGTGCTAGTTTACATCTGATGGGGTTCACTATTTTAAAATAACTATTATTTTTCTGTTACAATTGGGATGCTTACTTGGGGACCATAACACACGCTGACTTACTTTTCCTGGGAAAACTTCCGGTAGTTTCTCCAGTTGGGTACTTTAGCTATTGTGACTAGGAGCACAGATGTCTTCATCAATAATAGAAAGCATTATTACTCTAATTTTATAGAAAAGAAAAATGATGTTTATAATAGTACACCAAATTACATTTTTAACATGTGGAATATACCTTGTGTTGGCAGTGAAGTACTCTTCTCCTCATGCTCATATTTGCAGTAGTATTTCTTGTCTTCACTCTCTGCTGGCACAGTTAACCAACTGGCAATTGAGTATTCATCCTCCTTTGTGGACTGCCAAGTGTCACCTTTTACTACGTTGCCTGTTACCTCCTTTTCATCTTCTGTCCATGTCACCCTAATAACTTCTGGATAGAATTTCTCAATAAAGCAAACATACATGATCTGATTTTCATGTTTTCTCTGCAGGATTTCAGAGCTTTTTGGGGGAGAACTTCTTTTTTCTGGATGGTTATTGATGAAGAAAATTAACAAAACAGAGAGTTGGAAGATTAGTAGTGTACAGCAAATAAATACACGGACAAAAATACAAATTCTGAAGAGCAACAAAATAAATGCCTTATTAACAAATATTAATATGCTTGTAAAAAATGTAAATGCTCTTTTGAGAAACATTAAGAAACTGAAATACTGTTGAATATGTCAATATCTGTTAATGTCACTGAAAACTGAGTTAGAAAACTTAAGGTGGCTACTGAAGTGCCTATATCCCACAACCTTCCAAGCAGCTCTGCTGTCAGAGTGTATTTGACTGTTCAAGTCTCTCACAATTAAATATTTCCTGAACAAGCTTCATTTATTCAATAAGAGGAGTTTATTATTGCTTTACAATATTTATGCAAAACAAGTACCTTAAAATTTTGTCCAGAGAATATTAAACATAGACCGCCTACCTTTAAAATCTTAGCAGTCTTATGACCCCAGTATAAGTCTCCACTGCTATATAATGAACACCTGCTACACCTATTAATTTTTTAAAAGCCAATATTAATTTTGTGATATTTTTTAGGGCATGAGAGAAGGGAAGATAACAATGATTGCTCTGTTTTTAAGGCGTTCCATGTATTTGCCAGGTGAAGATTTTTATCAAGACAGGAAAATGGAATCACAAAATGCCCTACACACCAAAGGCTGGCAATGCTATTCTGCCATACTAGATCTGTTTAAATTATTGAATTAAAACATCTGAAAATTTAAAACCAAAACTAAACTAAAGCAGAATATATGCTACAGCAGGATAACATTGTCACATCTAAACAGTATATCTAGGCAGACTTGTCTGCATAGATGTTGTGCTTTGGGAAAAATGCTCAGTATGAATATAGATTAATATATTTAAAATTAAAAGTTAGCTGTTTCCACAAGATTATTTGACCTAATCTCCATTTCATTTGCCATTCTGGATTAAGCCTGGATGCTCTCTAGATTAGGAGGAGACAAAATCATCTAAATTTTGTCCACACTGAAATGACATTTTGATATTATTTAAATATATAGTAAATTTAAGGGTCTGATTTAGGTAAATGTCAACTTCTGCAATGAGTGCATAGGCAGTGCTCACAGGCAATCATTTCTGCCTATGCTTAAATACAAGTAAAGGCTGAATACAGTTTTCAAAACTGACTTTTGTTACATAGAAACAAAGAAAGTACTGCTTAAGACTATTTTTTAAGGCAGCAGAGACATTTTAGGTGTCCCCTTATCCCACTTTTTCTCTTGAATTCCTATGTAAGTCTCTGCCACTGAATTTGAGCAAGTAGATGCATGGGGTTTAAGTTGTGGTCTGACTGATCGATGCAAATTTAATGCATTAGGAGAAAATACATTACTATAAAATGCATTTTTGCCAAAAAGCTTTCACTTTTCTTTAAATGATCTGGCTGTTCTAGAAAAATCTTCTATATTGCATTCTCCCTGAAACAACTTACTGATCCTTGAAGTATTTCAAACTTGGTGTTTAAAGAGAAAGGTTAACTACCTACCTACCTACCTACCTACCAACCTACCTTCAAAAGAGTGTCTACCTTCTGTATATTAAGAATTTCCTTCATTTTAGAGATGCCATTAAAATGACAATGTGGACTGAGCTATGTTGTACCAGAAATAAAGTTGCTGACAACTTTATAGTTCTCTAACATTAATTTAGGAGTTAATTTTATCTTCTTTATGCATTGGTCCTCCCAAGGATGAAAAATTAAAGTAATTTCTAAAGTTATCTATTTGTTCCAGAGTCATATATATGTTCACAAGATCATGAAGTAGCTCTTGTCTGAGTGATATTGCACTCTGCAAAGCTTCATGAATATTTTAGAGGTTTCTTTTAGATTTTTTTAGTAACTTGTTCTAGCTAATTTCAGTACATATAATAGCTTAGTTTGACGTTATTCTCTTAGGATATCAAGTTTAAATGGAGAGGCGAGAGAGATTCTTCCAACTGCTAGTACATTCTGCTCATTTTAGAGACTTCTGTTATGATAGAATAATTTCCACCTCTGGAATTGCCAATGTCATTCCATTTACTGTAAAAACACCCTAGGTATGCAGCTTACATGAAACACCTACATCGTGCCACAATACTTAGGAAACGCATTGCTTGAATAATTGCAGCTGTGTGCATGCATTGAAGTGTTGCTTGTATGTATATGGGTAAATGGATTGCAGTGGAGAACTGAAAGAATTAAGGTTTGCATCTATCTATCTATCTATCTATCTATCTATCTATCTATCTATCTATCTAATCTCCCTATCTATATCTTTTTATGTGAGAAAAAAATCTTTGTATGCATGTTTCTGAAAAAAAAAAAAAAAAGAAAACTTGTAGAATTGGCTGTCTTCTAAGTCTTTGAAGTCAGCAAGATAGCTGACACTGGATTTTCTAGGCAAATTACCTGATTCCTTCTGAAGAATTTTCAAGTATTGAATTTGCACTCCTCTGTCAGTTTTGATTCAGGTAAACATTGAAAATGTTGTGGTTTACCTTGTTAAACAGTTTTCTAAGGCAGGTTTTAAGAGGTATATAGATGTTACTTTTACACATAAAATAGAGGTATGACCAGGTATTTCTTAAGCTAACATTTGTCTTTTCTGTTGTGTAACAATGCAGCGAGGCTGTAAAACACTATTCAAACTATATACTGGAGTTAGGTTCATAACCAATGAGCTATTAAAAAATTAAGTTCAAAATATATATTTATATAGATTAGCTGTCAAAAGTTTTCTTAATGAAACTCCTCTATAGTTTCTTTATAAGTATCTATAAATCAGATTTATGAATAAAGTCACTGTGTTCTTAAACTGAAATTTTAATTCTCACTAATTGGATGATCCCACAAAATGGAGTAATTTTAGACTGACACTTAAAGCTCCTCTGTTTTACTCCAAGCCAGTGGGACCTGAGGGCACTCAGCACACTCAGCTCATAAACAGCATTCTTGTCCTACTTGACAGCCACTTCAGGGATTATAACTGGTAACGATACAGTATAGTCCTGACCTATGGTGAGCCTTTCCAGATACCTTAAAGAGCTGTAAGCCTTCTTTCCAAAGCTTTCTATTGCAAAACTTTTAAAAACATAGGACTGTGAAAAAACTTACTGGAGACAATGAGTTTTGCGCCAGAACCAAATACCAAATTCCCTCCCACACTGGTACATTCCTTTACAGAAACGGCCATCTGAAGGATGGGATGACATACAAAGGGACCTGGACAAGCTCAAGAAGTGGGTCCATGGAAATTTCATGATGTTTAACAAGACCAAGTGTAAGGTGCTCCACATGGGTCAGGGCAAGCCCGGTATCAACACAGGCTGAGGGATGAACAGATTGAAAGCAGCCCCGCTGAGAAGGACCTGGGGGAGTCGGTGGATGAGAGGCTGGACATGACCCAGCCATGTGCACTCACAGCCCAGAGAGACAAACGTGTCTGGAATGCATCAAAAACAACATGACCAGCAGGGCAAGGGAGGGGATTCTGCCCCTTACTCTGCTCTGATGAGACCCCTCCTGGAGTGCTGAGTCCAGTTCTGGGGTCCCCAGCACAGGACAGATACTGACCTGTTGGAACAAGCCCAGAGGAGGCCAACACATTGATTAGACCACTTCTATGAGGAAAGGCTGAGAGAACTGGTATTGTTCAGCCTGGAGAAGAGAAGGCTTTGTGTTGCCTAATTGCTCCCTTCCAGTACCTGAAGGGAGCCTACAAGAAAGATGGAGAGAGACTTTTTTACAAGATCATGTAGTGATACGATGAGGGGGAATGGCTTCACACTGAAAGAGAGTAGTATTAGATTAGATCTTAGGAAGAAATGTTTTACTGTGAATGTGGTGAGGCACTGTAACAGAGCGTCCAGAAAAGTTGTGGATGCTCCATCCCTAGAAGTATTTAAGACCAGGTTGGATGGAGCTCTGAGCAACCTCATCTAGTGGAAAGTGTCCCTGGCCACAGCCCTGGGGTTTAAACTAAATGATCTTTTTCAACCCAAGCCATTCTATGATTTTGGCCAGTAAAGTACCATATTTAACAACTATAATATGAACAACAAGATTCTTTTGATTTGGCCTTGTGAATGTAAACTATCTGGATTCAATCTCAGCTAATGCTGCTAATCATGAAGACCCTTATCTTAAATCCTGGCTTCCTCAATTTCTTAATTATTTTAAGTTCTTAAATATGAAGTAACTACAGCCCTTTTACTCAATTAATGATTCAAAAGCCTTGGGCTCATAAAGACAAAATCCTACAGAATTATAGTGATGATTGAAAATAATTTATTTTAAACTGTATATAGGAAAAGTATGGCAACTACCTGATTAGGTAGGTAAGAGTTTTCACTAAAAGCAACACGCTTATCATGCCACAGATATTTCCAGTGAATTATAGATATGATTTACTTAGTCCTTCTGGAGTAAATCATTAAACCAATCTTTGCTTGATATGTTAATATAGGTTTATGTATTAACCAGGCTTAAAAGTCTTGATAGCAGTACTTCCTCTGCCTTGTATTTGTTTAGTTGTTCACTTCAGGATTATGGCATTTAAAGCATATGTGGGAAATGGGAAAAAATATTTTTGTCTGCTATTTTCCATTAATATAAATGTCTCTGCAAGAAAGACAAAAAAGGATCACTTCTTCATTAAGCAATTATTAAGCAGTAATTCACCATAATAAACGCTGAATAATTAATTAATTTGTTAAGCAGTTATCAAGAAATGAGAAGAACATTTGGAGGTACTAATTTATTTCTAATGGTGAAATGTCATGTATGTGATAAAATACTTATGAACAAGTTAGTTATCTTTTTCTAGCCTAATCCAAAAGGATTTTTTGCAATGTCCATTGCATACTGTTCTTTGTATCTGTATTAGAAAGAGGTTTTCTTTTTTCATGCTTAATTCTCAGCAGCTTGATTCACTGCTAATTCCTTCAGTACAGCTGGAGGAAAGAATGAGGTCTCTGAAAATTATTACAGACCATTTTCCACCAGATTTCTAGGAAAACTATGATCAAAAGTGGCTTGAAATAGGTTCTTTTTAGGCTTGTTTGTGATCCTAAACCACTGCATTACAAATACAAGGATGAATGTAGGAATGGTGAGCTGGGAAGGAAAATCCAGCACAAGGAATGGTGCTGACTGAGGCTCTAAGTGGACTGAGTGACCTCTGAGATAGTATAATACTCATCTATATGACCACTCCAAGCTCCAATAGCTTATTGTATGAACAATATATGTACAACTTACCTGAGACAATGAGTTTTGTACCTGAGCCGAACACCTTGTTGTAATAACCAGTCACAGTGAATAAAGCCTTTACAATATCACTGCAGCTCAGTGGTGTTTGCATGGGTATATAGTACTCTTTAAAGAAAATCAGATTTACTGTATAACCAATTTTTAGATGCTAGGGAAACGAAAAAGTAGCAGTCACCCAAAATAAACTAAAGTTTAAAAAAATGGAAAAATGTGGAATTTTTGGAGGGCATATAAGCTGTTAAATGAATAGAACTCAACTAATTTGAGTCTACTGAAGTTTCAGGTGGACAGTGCAGATGGAGCACCTTGGCTCCATCTCTACTTTCTGGAGACAGGTAGCATCACCCTAAGATTTATTTGATGAGATATTGGTAAAGTAATTTGCTCCTTATACACCCCCATAAGATCAGACCCAGAGCTGGTGAACATTATATAGAGATCTGAGGAGCACGAGACTACTGACCAATATTTTTGTTACCAGTAACATGAAGCAAAATTGCATTGATTGAAATCAAAATTCCCACTAACAAGATACACCATTTCAGCTGGTCAAAATTAGACAAACTATTTTCATCTCAGATGCTTAGCTGAGCCAAGTTACGGGCAAGTATCACAGCACCTAGGGTTTACTTGAAGCAAAATATTTTGAATAGTAGTAATAACTGATAATAAGCAGTTTCTGCAAAACTTAGGAAGAGAGAACAGCCTTTCAACTCTGCCTGTCTTAAAAGGTACAACTTACTGTTCTGGGCATATCTGAGATAACTCTCATTTTCATTCATAGTCAGATACAGTCCAAAAGAAAATGTTTAGCTTTTCAAAGAATATGTGTAACACAGAGGTTGGACATATTATTTTAGAATGAATTAGGAATATCACAAAGGTCAAATGTGCATACATTTCTCTGTTCTCCAAATGCTGTCTTTGCCATATTTAAATTCATTTTTACATAGAAAATAATAATGGGATAAATTATAGGTCTCTGCTGCAATAGCTGTTGTGTTTCCCCCATTTCATGCATAAATACAAAACAATTACATTGTGTTCTGCAAATGCAAATGGAAATTCCGTTTAAGGGGAAATCCTGCAAAGTATTCAGAACAGTTAGAATTAGAGAGAATTAAAATAGCAGAGCACTTCATGCCAGCCAATATCTAGCTGTATTAAAAAGCATTTCAGAAGTAGTTAAGTTTTACATTTTGTACTTACTTGAAACTCTAAGTTCAGTTCCACTTCCAAATATTTTGATGTCAGGATCCCACAGTCTGATAATGCTTATCAACATCTCCTGCACTGCACTTTTCTTGCATAGGCTACAGAAGAAGTCTCTCTGGTTTAGAGGCTGGTGATAAATCTGACTGAGTGCTTTAGCTGAATTTTCAACTTTGCTTAGAGTGCCATTTCTAGAAATACTTTAATTTTTGTAGTGAGTAAAAAGTTCTGAAAATTTTTGGTCAGAGGCATGGATAGAAAACATTTTAAATTTCTCTGCAATTCTCCCCAGCAGTTTGCAATTTGAATTAATTATAGCCACCTTGATAATGTAATGTAGTTTCTGAGTAACATACTCTTGGCATTGTTATATACTTTATACTGAAAACAGCATTCATACTTTTGATTGCATAGCTTCACCACAAGTGAAAATAATACAAATACAACAGTAAACCAGTTGCTTTCGGTACAGTCAGGAACTAGAAATGTATTGCACTCAGGGAATTTTTCTTTTCCAATCAATTTAGACCACTTCTGTCAATAAGAAACTCTTTCATTTCTCACATGCAGTTCTGGTAGTTAACTTCCAAGCAGTTCGCTATTGTTTCCTAGAACAGGATGAAACCATCCCAATATATAAATCTACCTACCCAATTGGGGGACCATGCACTATGCACAAACAAAATATGATTTAACAGGGACAAAATAATTTTCCTCACAGTCTTTCATTCTTGATTATCCCAGAACTTGAATGATTATCTGAAAATCTGTTCATTGATAATGGTACTTACCAGAGACAACTAGCTTTGTTCCCATGCCGAAGTATTTGATCCAGGTGCTCCACACTATGTTTTGACTTTACAATAAGCCAGAATGCTCTCTTGTTATACCATTGATGAAGAAAATCCCAACTTTTCCCAACCATCCATGGGAGTCTGCATGAAGACCAGGTCCTTGGCTGCTGGGAGGTCATCAGGAATTTCAGATGTGCATCTGGATATTCAGCCGATAGCTAATGTCCTTCAGAAAAAATCTCTTTCCTGTTAGATAACCCTCCACCTAATGTCTTAGAACTCGATTATGAGTCTAATTCTCTTCGATTATAGACAGTAAATAAGAACACAGAGTTCTGCATGTAAAATAAACATGTACCTTCAGATGAAAATCCTGCTCTTTACCAAAGATGTCCACCTGCAATTACATGATATCAAGTACTACTAGCATGGAGTCAATTTTCATTGTCGGAACACAGAAGAGAGAAAGGAGGGAAAGCCAGCACCAAAAGCATTGTGAAAGTGTCTGTGTGCTGCATGCGGTCCCAAGTAAGTGGTTATTGTCTGCTCATCTCTTGGAATCACTCAAGACTTTGCTACAGCAACTCATTGGCAGCTTTTTATATAACAACTGGTGGGAAAAGGAGGCTTTTCCTTGAGTGGGTTTTTTTATAAAACAGCCCAAGATAACATCAGAGGAGTCACTACTACTGTCAATCAAACAGCCTGCATGCTTAGTTTGGCATTTAAAATAAACTGAATTAGAGTTTACTTCTGGGATCTCTTGTAGCATACTGAATGCAAAATTATGTTGAGAAATTACTATTTGTGGCGAGAGAGAGGAACTAGAGGGTGAAGGTCTTTCAGCTGAAGTAGGTGGAAAAAACCCCAGTGGTCTACTTTGAAATCTTCTGAACAGAAACATCCTAATCAACAACCACAAATCAAGGGCAGGAGTGATGTAGACAGAATGACACTTACTGGTGTTTTTCCTGCTACACCCTTTGACATGCAGTGAAGGAAACCACCTCAGTTCTGGCCAGATAGTGTTAATTTTTGCAGTAGATGGGAGAGTGCATGCTAGGACACACAAGTTACTCTACATCACCTCACCTTATTACTGGATGTGGGGGAATGAAGTCTCTTCTGGGGGATAAGGTGATTACCTGACTCTGAAGTTATGTCCTTCTGGTCAAGGACATGTAGCAGAGTGAGCAGTTGGGTAATACTGGTTCTGGGCTGGAGGGAGCAGTCAGCTAATGCCAGTTTCAAGCAATCACATGGGAATTGTTTTGTATGTTACACACTTCATCATTAACATTGTTGCTGTTATTGTTTGGTTTTTATCTCATTGCTGTTTACAGTAAATAGCTCTTATCTCAACACATGATTTTTGCTTTCTGTGCCTTCAATTCTAATCTCAAGCCCTCCACAAGAGAGTAGGGGGAGCTAGCAAGAATAACATGGATTGAAGAGCATGGGAGCACTACACTGGGGAGTACAATTCCTAAGCCATGACAGCCTTACTTGGTGTTCAAATGGCGTATGAAATGTTGAGATAACAACAGGTCTGTCCAGAGATGGTTAAAAACAAATTTGCTCGATCTGTTCACATGGTTGTGGTACCTAACCCTGTTTATATTCCTTTGTATGCTCCTTGCAGTGCTCTTTTTCAGAGCAGGGAAAAGGATCAGGGTTTCTTTGTTGATGTATTAGCTAATGACATGACAATGTCAAAGTCAATGAGGAACATTTGGGATGTGTATTCAGTGTTGCTCTCCTACCCTTACCTTGGGCACAGCCTTTGGGGGTCTATTAATAATCATAGCCAGTTTGTGGAAGGAGGAAGAGAGGATGATTTTCCCAAGATTTTAACCCCCCTTTCCAGCTTCAGGCCTGTTACAACAGCTTTTGAGAATTTTGAATTTCCCTTGGGTGTTAAAGAAAGCATGTTCTTGTTGTCAGATCCCCTCAGTCCGGCCCGCACCATGTTTAGAGTCAGGACAGAGATACATAGGGGGTTATTCAGAGATCTAACTTGAGAGTGGATAGTCATGACTGCCATGAGGGTAGGAGATAATGGGGCAGTTTTGAAGGATTACTCTGCTCCAATGTTTTGGAAGTTCACCCACCCCTGACATCCACAGTTTTGGGGTTGAGTGAGATGAAGATTTTGCTCTAAGGTTATGGGAGAAATCCCCTTATGGTGAACAAAAACTCACCCCCATTTTCCCCTGTGAGTTCATATGTAAAATGATTACTAGAAAGTTCTTTGTTCCTCCTATTGTTATTGGTTTTTATTTGCTGCATTGATATTAATATTCCTAATCCCAGTTTGTGATTAGTACCCTGTCCCTCATATTCCTCCCCTAACCTATCCTATATATATATCACTGACCCTTGCCTTTTTAGTGCACCCTATACCCTGGTTTGCAGTCTCTGCTCTTTGTTGTTTTTGCTGATTGAAACTATCTCTTATTTTCAGGTCACTAAATCATGCCTGTCTCTATTTATTTGCCACATGGACTTTCTCTGAATAGTCCTGAGGTGACATCTCCGAATAGTCCTGACATGCCATCCAGGCCTGGTGTGCCACACTGCAGGACACTGGCAGAAGCGTAAGTTACTGCAATGTGCCCTGTCTACTCTTTACTGGACATAGTTCAATACCAGACAGCACCCTCAGGGGGGAGAAGAGGAAAGCAGACCAACAGGCACTGTGGCCACTCAAACTGCAGCTGAATGAGAGGAACAACCCATGCTAGTACAGAAGAAGAAATCCAAGACAAAATCAGTTTGTTTAGTGAGGGATGAAAAATAGGGACCTGTAGTGGTTTGTTAATTTTAGATTTTGCTAATTATGAGATTTTCTGGTTAATGCACTAAGGAGTGTGGTGGGTTTAGTGTTGGCTAATCACTAATGCACTCACTTGTTGTAAGATAGGATTAGAAGAAAAGCAAAGCAGGCTCAAAACTTTAAAAAGGTATAAAGAAAAACTTATTAACAGTAATTAAAAGAAAGAGTAGTCAGAACAAAACCTTCAGAACACTTCTCATCCTCTCACAACCTTTTCTTTCTTGCTGACAGTGTAAAGAAAGAAAATTTAAAATTTCAGTCTGCTTACCACCACTAGAATAGTCTTCAGTTTATTTAGGGAGATAAGTCCTTCTTGTTAATGTCATGGAGACTTCTCTACAAGAAAAACAGTTCTCTCATAGCTCTCATGAGTAGCAGCCTCTTGGGAAATTTGTAATTGTGAACTCTCATCTTTTATAAGCTTTTTTCACAGTTGTGTTTATGGCTATGTTAACTTATGGGGTATTGTTTTAAAGATGAACTGTTTAAAAGTAAAAGGTCTCATTATCTGTCTCTAAAATCATCTTTATCTTTAGGAGCAGAGATCTTCTTTTCTTCTTGAGGGCACGGGACTACTCTCCTCTGTTCAAACTTCTCAGGATCACAGCTACTTTAACATCTGCTTACTTTAGTATGGAAGCTTTTGCTCAATATCTACAATTTGAACATCTCTCTATACCTTTATGTATTATAGGGAAAAGGAGTCTTTCTCCATAGCTTTATAAGAGGATTTCAGCCCCAAGATTAAGGCATCTTCTTATCCCTCCCATCTGGGACTTGACTTCCTCTTCACTAACTTTAGTGTTTTTATGTTGCTCTTTTACATACTTGCATCTTGCTCTTTTTTTACTCAAGAGAGGATTAAAGAACTGAAAGAGTTAACATCTCACTTGAAGTTTGTATACAGTTACCTAAACTATGACTAGAAGGGCAGCTAAAACTTAATCGGTCAGTCTAAAACTCAGCAGCAACACACCAAAAGAGAAGGGAGGGGGTGTATAGCTTCTCTTTCCACCTGCCCAATAGTTATACTAGTAGAATCTAATCTGAGCTGTCTCGGCCCAGGCTGTTCCCGAAAGTTAACAGACTCAGCTCAGCCCCAGGATAGTACCAAGATGTTAGAAATTGCAACCATAGCCTGACCTCCGACACTCCCTCCCCTGATCAGCAGCCAATAAAAAGCCAGCGAGCACCAGCAGGGAGAAAGGAGGTGGCCCCGCCCGGCCTGGCCTAGCTAAGACAGGGGCTGGGGCCTGTTACCTCTTTACCGACCAGAAGAGAAAGTTTTTACAAAATTTTCCATATTTAACATGTGTTTTTCACAGAGGTGTGTACTGCTTCCCAGTAGTTCAGTAGACTGTCAGTTACACAAAAGCTTTTACGTCACATCTGTAGATGCCTCTCAGGCAAAACAGGAGCTCACAACAGGAGGAAGAGGCAAGGCCAGAGACAGACACTAATCCCTACCCCAGGTGAGGTGTGAGATATGTGAAAAGATTTCAGCTGCCAGTCAGGAGAGCCCTTGGTGACCTTCCTGCTCTGATGCTGGGAAATCGTGGCCCACAACATAAAAGGAGATGGTAGTGAAGCCAAGCAGCTGGGATCCTTGTTCTGGGATCTGAGCATTGGCAAGGGCATTGGGAAGAGAACAGAAACTTTCAGCCTCTGGAGGCAACTCCTGTCAAGTGGAAGGGAAAGGATTCTTTCATTCTCTCAAAGATGATCCAACAGGGTACCCAAGTAGGTGGAATACCATGGAAAAAGGTATCCAGTACCTGAGCAAATTAGCTGTGCTGAAGGTAATCTTTAAGGATTCAAATAACAAGCAGTCTCTTGTCCAGTGTACACAATGTATGTGGCAGAAGTTTGTATGGAGCTTGCCTCATTGTACACCAACCCTTTGAAATCCTTTTCATTGATGTCAATGAAAGAAGAAGAATCACTGCTTCAGGTGATTACCCGACTCTAACAATATGTTCTTCTTTTTTCCTCCCTTCCAACCTAAGCTTTGGCTGTGGAAACATTGCCCAAGACTCTGGACAGACTCAAAAGATTCAAGCATGTTAGAGAGAAAATGTCTGATGTTCTGCCAGTGTGGGCCACAGTCTCTTCTACTGGGAGCATGCAGCTCCCTGCTCAAGAGAGAGGTACGTACCATGAGGTAACCTAGAGGTGTTTTTTCTTGTATGACTACAGAGAGGACATGAGGAAGCACCTCTGCCCTAGCAGCACAAGTACATGAGTGTGCTGGTTTAAAAACACAGGTGGAAAATTAAACCCCATTTAAGCTTCTCTTTCCCCCCAAACCCCTTCTTAGTGAGAGACTAAAAGCAGAGATTCTGAGTTAAGAACCATTTACTTGAGAAAAAAATATGAATAAAATAAGAAAAACGACCGGTAACTATATTAAAGTACACAAAACAAAGGTGATTTACATACAGAAGGTTATTCACCAACCAAGACCCTGCACAACCTGAGACAAAGAAAGTGAGACATGGCCTCTCCTCCCATGCGCTGGGCCATACAGAACCTGGGAAACTAGCCAGGGAGTCTGAATGGCAGCGATGCTGCTGAAAAATGCTGGCTCTATCAGTTGCAGCAGTGGTCCAAATGCAGGGGTCCCTTTCCCCAGGGCAGTGGTTATCCCAGTAGTGGTCCTGGTGGGCACTGCAGCTTGCATTTGGGTTCTTGGCAGCTGCAGAATTAACAGCAACAGTAGCAGCAGCTGTGGCAGTAGCAGCATTTTCCCCTTTTGAGTTTCTCATGGCTGTGTGTTTAAGGGAACAGTTTATTCTTTCCTATGCCCAAAGTGAGACTGTCTGCTTCCAGCTTCTGATGCATCTTGCTCAGCCTTTTCTGCTGCAACCAAACTCCAGCCATGATGTAAATGGTATGGAATTAAACAGTGTTAGAAACTCCACCCCTCTTTTTTAGCTCTGTATCCAGGACAACCTCTGCAGGAAATTCTTCAAGGATAAATGCCCCTCCACTTTACAGTGGGCAAATCCTCAGAAAAAGCAGGAAGGCTGATGTTACTTCTGATCCTCTTGAAGGGACCTCCAGTTCATGTTTACAAGAGCTGAGAAATGAGTACTATGAGCAGAAGTAGAGGGGACTCCAGCCAGGTGGAGAAAAGGGACAATCAGATCTATTGGACTGTATGAATCTGATGGCCTGATACAAGACTGTAAGGCTTTAGTTGGCACTGGCACACAATGTACCCTGATGCCATTAAGATCTATAGGGACAGAATCTGTGGTTATAAGCAGCACATCATCAGCTCTGGTAGGTAAGACATTGCAAATCTCTAATTTGAACTGGTCAGTGTGGAATTTTGTGGTAACTGAATTAGGGTAGACAGGGCTTACAGTTTTTCCAACAGCTTACAGTTGCTTACATGTACAGCAGGGAATATTACATGGTGAAACTTTTTCTCCAAAGTGCTAGGCAGTGGCAAGCATATAATTCCCACCACTAAGGTACTTCCTTCAGCACACTGTATTTCTTTTCTTCCTACTCTTTCCTATGGAGAAAAGTGGCCAGACTAGAAGATTACTGCTTCTCTGTTTGCTCCCCCAAAGACCACCAGAATTATGCCATGGCTGTGTAAAAGCACCAAAGGAGCAGGTGAGTGTCCAGTATTTATGTGCTAAGTTTTAAGGCAGTGAAGATTTCCTTTACCCTTAAAATAGTAGATGTGCATTGAAGACAGGACTGCTAATGATAAACCAGACTTTGAGAAGGACATCTGTGCGGGATTACCCACTCTTTTGGAGTAGCAGCAGCTCACTCAGATGCAGTGAGAAGACTGGTGGGGTGGCACAGTTAGAACCTTGTGGTTCAGATGTTGCGGGTGTTTTTTTTGCCTTGATGATTGTGTTTCTATCACAGTGAGGATCCCAGTAGGCACAGTAGTAAGTAGCAGCATCATCTGGAATTACATCCTTTATTGTAAGAACACATCGCTTCTGGACAGAACTTATCTCAGTCATGTATCTGTTTGCTTGAAAGCCACTTTCAATGGCAACTTTGCCTCCTGAAACAAACAGAAGCCTCTCTGGAGCTTCACCCTCCTTCTGCTTATACCAGTGTATGACGATGTCATCAAAATTTGCCTCTAATGTTTGAATTTCACATGTCATCCGTGCACTTTTTTCAAACTTGGTGATGGATATAGGACTCTGCATGGGAATTTCCTGTGCAAATCCATCTAGAAAAGAGAAGAGGATAAATTATGTAATTAGCTGGAATTCAGGGATTTGGAAAAATGCCTGTGATGGATGCAAAGCCATGGGTCCTGTGAAGAAAGGTAGGAAAATAAGGAAGTACTTACAAGACCAAGAGGCTGTGGCCACAAACACTACGAGCAGCAGCATGTTTGCTTGTCACGCTTCGCTCTCATTGAGATTCAGAGGAGGAAGAAAGGGACTCCAAATGGGGACTGTTTTGTACAGAAGGAGGAAGTGGCTCTCTTGAATGGTCTTCAGTGATGAACTTTCTGTGTGCAAGCAGATGGGGTGTTTTTGCAGAAAACCCTCTCCGGACTGTCAAACATTAAAATTGGTAAAAAGGCTGTAGTCCTGTCTGCTTTTCAAGTAAATATGGGAAATATTGATAAAATCCAAGGATTGTGGCCCTGTAAAACTCAGTCAAAGTGACTGAGAAAAGGTTGCAACCAAGAGCATGTCCAGATATGTATGATGGAGTGAAGGTTTCAGTCTGGAGGTTACCCTGGTGGGCAGTGATTGCATACCTCACATGAGAGGTGCAGAGAGGTGCACAGTGTCAGAGCAGGTGAGGACTGCCTTTTGCTGCTTCAGCTTAATCACCTAGATGCAAGGTGCAGAAGTGCCCAGGGTGCCCCTGTGCTGGTATTGCCCTCCACCAAAGCTGAAGACCATCAACCTACAGTGACTGCAGTGACTGCAGTGACTGCAGAAACTTGACTGTTGGGACTTGCCTTTGCTTTGATTTGGGGTGCGGGAGGAAATGCATAGCCACAGGATTTCAGTTTCATAGCTTAGCTGAGATGCAAACAATTCTTGGAAAAAAGGCTGGAAAATAGAAGAGAACATCTTTTGTCAACAACCATTGCAGAGAGACATCTTGAAGAGTGGGTTTGATGCTGTGGGGTCTCCCCTGTGACTGATGAGCTCAGGCTGATCCTCCTCCACCAAAGGCTATATCTTTCTTGCTCCAAACTTTCCATCTGGTCTCAGGGGTCTGGGATACCTGAAGGCCATTTTATGGGTAAATGCTGAGGCAAAGGAAATACTGAGTACCTCAGGTTTTTCCATGTCATACATCACCAGTTTCCCTGCCCCATCCAGCAGCTTTCCCTAGTGTTTCTTTTGCTGCTGCTGTATTTAGAATCCTTTCTTGTTCCCCTTTACCTCATTTGCCAAATTCAGTTCTAGCTGGTTTATTGCTTTCTTAAGTCCATTCCTGCATGGTTGAACAGCAGCTCCATACTCCTCCTGGATCACCAGCCCCTGATTCCACCTCTTTTATACTTCATTTTTATGAAGCTCTTCTCTGTTCAGAAGTCAGCAGCTTTTTGCTCACTCTTGAGAAACTCCTGTTGCCTCTATTTGGTTTCCTAGGTGTCAGACTGGACCTTTCTTGAACTTGGAGAAGATTCTTGGATGTCAACTAGCATTCCTGGACACTTCAGGGTTGTATTCACAGTGATGTTTCCAAGCAGATCTCTGAAGAATTTTAAAGGCTACTCTCCTAAAGTCCAGGGCTGAGGTCCTGCCTTTTGCCCTGCTGCCTTCTCTCAGGAGTTGAATGCCACTGGCTAATAGTCACTGCAGCCAAAGCTGCCCTTACCTTTCCATCCACAACAAGGTCCTTATTGGCTGCCCAATCATCCATGTCAGGAAGTTGCTGCCAGCTCACTCCTGAAACCTCCTAGACTGGTTGTGAGGAATTCTCAGATCCCACAATACAATGACAAAAGGCAGGCTGACTGAAGTTAACATCACAGGTCACATGTACTACAACCTATTTTTCAAATAGTTGAGGAAGACAGAAACATCCATAGCAAGATGTTATATACTTAAATCACATAGAAGCTTTAGCAAAAAATGTTCAGAGCCTGTAGAACTAAAAATCCATCACCGTGGAGGTATTGTGTGCTCATTTTTAAAAGATACTGAACATGTGCACTCCAATTCAGAAAATGTAAGACATAAAAGTATCTCAGTGTTTTGACCTAGCTTTCAGGAAAATGCCAGCTTTCCTGGAACCAGTCTTTGTAGAATCTGATTTCTAAAACTCAGCACACTTAATCCAAAGGCTCTGAGAGTATTTGCTTGTCTGTGGTATAGCTCATGGCTGAGGATTTCAATTTATGCCTTGGACATATCAAATGAGGAATCGTGATGAAAAAATTAGGTTTTCTGTGCCGTTGTAGGACTTTTTAGTGACTGAGATGCAAAGGAAGGCAAAAGGAAAATATGAAGGAGGATGTGCAAGATCAGCTGGTCTTCCCCCCTTCTTTCCTATTCCTGCTTTTTTTCAAGAGAAAATACTAAGGGATGAAGAAATGTTGCTCTGAGAATGTTGCAGAGAACAGAGAAGGGAAATCTATAACTGACACACAGAGACTGTGTCACTGTCAGGTGAGTGCTTTCAGTAAAATATAGACTTCATTTTAGGAGCAATGTTTCATATATTTATCTTAAAGTGACAGGAAGGCTTCACTTTCTGGATATTGCAGAAAAATCTGAGGACAGAAATGATACACTGATTGTCAACATCAGATATTTAACACTTGTCATAAGGCTTTGTTTTTCCTCTCGTGCTGCAGAAAATCATGAAAGGGGTGGAATAAGGAAGTATTTGAATTTTTAGCAGAGTTCACAGCTTGCGGTTCAGAGCACAACAAAGAGTCTTTTTGTAAAGCTTATCTTTGCCAAACTTATGCTGTGGTAAAACCAGTATGCACAGTAGTAAGTGCCAGAATCCCTCGGGGTTAAAGAATTTATCACAAGATCATACACAGGCTGAGTAGGATGATTCCGAACTTGAAATCTATTTCTATCATTGTTGTCCTCAAAAACAGCTGTCCCTCCAGTCTCGTACAGTATCCTCTTTGGCGGCTGTCCGGGAAGCTGCCTGTACCAATGCACAACATTTTTCTCTCCCAGTTGACATGACATGCTGGCAGACATGCCCTTCATCTGCGTCTGCATCTCTGGGGTTTGCACTGGCACTGACTGCATGTCTACACCTGGAAGTGAAAGCAGAGAAATTGCATGAGGGGAGAAACTCCTGGAGTTTGGGAAAAGGCTTATGTTCACTGTAGACAGGAAGGAGAGAGAAGAGGAAAAAGGTCTTACAGGACCAAAACGAAGTTGCAAGAAGGACTGGAAACAGCAACATATTGCCTGTGCAGATTAGACCTGAAAATGAAATAAATAGAAATGTTATAAAGCCCTTCAGGTGGACAAATCATCAAATGACTGGGAGGAGGAAATTACTCAATTCAGCGCATCCAATGGTCGTTCTTCAACACACTACCACAGAGGGTGTTAAATTTACTGACAAGCTAAACCATGGCAGAAGCAGCATAGAAAGGACAAAAAATACTCAATCTGAAAAAAACTTCTTCCTCTGTCTACTACTAGACTTATATCAGACTTACCTACTGAGCATACTCAAGTTGTTCAGCCTGGCCCTTCCCAAGAATGTTTTCCTCTCCTCAGACACCTCAAAGATGTCCCAGAAGAATGTTTCACCTTTCCTTAGAACTTCGGAGAATCACAGAATAATAGAATGCTTTGGGTTGGCAGGGACCTTAAAGATCATCGAGCTCTCACCTCTACCCCATATGCAGGGATGTCACCCTCTAGGTCAGGTTGTTCAGGGGCCCATCCAACCTGGCTTTGAATACATTACAAGGGATAGAACATCTAGATCTTCTCTGGGTTGTCTGTTCTAGTGCCTCACGACTCTCAGAGTAAAGAATTTCTTCCTAAGATCTACTCAAAAGCTCTTTCAGTTTAAAACTCTTCCCCCTTCTTCTATCACTGTCTACCCATGTAAAGATTTGTTTTATGTAAGTGCCCTTTAGATACTGGAAGGCTTCAATAAGGTCTCCCCTAAGCATTTTTGTGTCCAGGCTGAACAGCGCCAACTAAGCCTTAACTAGGCCTGTCACTAGTAGTGTCTGGCAAGGTTCCATACTGGGTCCAGTATTGTTTAACTTGTTCATCAATGACTTGGGGGAAGGGGCAGATGCCTCCTCAGTTCACTGATAGCATGAAGCTGGGAGGAGTGGCTGATACTCCAGAAGGCTGTGCAGCCCTTCACAGGGATCTTGACAGGATGGAGAGATGGTCAGGCTACTTCCCACCTGAGGGTGTCTGCCGCAACAGCACGGCAAATGGATGGAATTGTACAGTGTTGCTTTAAGTAAGCGTGGAATTTATGAGGCTGGTTGAGGATAACATGACCTGGGCTCTGTGCTGCCTCTACATCTGGCTCGAGCAAGGTCTCACAACCAAAGGATGCCTGGGGCGAAGTGGAGGTCTCACAGCCCTGTGTTCAGTGGCACAGAGAAGCACCTGTGCCTATGTACCACCCCTTGTGCTCACCCTCCCTTCACCCTGAAAGGTGAGCTGTGTTGTAAATCTGGTCTGATGAGAAGAAAAGGCACACAAAAACTCTTTGGAAAAGATCAGACAACAAAGGCTGCCTCAGACATTGGAGGGAGACCAAACTGTTTATTTTACCTTTTGTGTTAATAAATTCTGACCAAAAGTAAGTGACACTCTAATCGACATATTTAACTTTCATGTTCCTTGGAATGCAAATGAAGAAGAAGATGTGATATATGTATCAGCAAAGTTACCAAACCCCATCTACAGCATGTGATTGTTCCATCTCATTGGAAAGGGCCAAAAATTTATAGTATAAAGGGAGGGCTTTGGGGCAGTGTTGGAGCTGGGTTTTTCTTTCCTTTTCTTTCCTTGTTACTTGTGGATTTTTTTTCCCATTGAGTTGCTAAGAAGCACTGATGGCGGGGTGCTTGAGAGGCGTGGAGGGGGAACTCCTCTGTTTTTTGGGAGTTTCTCCCAGAGGGACAGAGATACCGCGAGAAAAGAGGCAGGTAAAAGGACAGGTGAAAGGACAGGGGTTGGGGCAGCGGGGAACTCTCTCTCGCTCTGTGTTTTGAAGGAGGATGGTTGGACCTGCAGCTTGGAAAAGGAATTCGCTGGCACTGCCATAACCCAGCTGGGAGCTTCTTTTCTTCTGCTGCTGGGCCCCGCACCCCCTGCCCTGCCGGGACATCCCACAGTTTCCAGCTACTGCTGCAGAGCTCCTGATACATCTTGTCCACCTCCCCAGGATTTCTGCTCATTGCTGCCGTCCC